TAAGCTGTATAGAGATATGTTTAAAGTTTTTAAAAGTATCCAGACATTAAACTGAAGCAACAATAGCTTTCTGTGCAATTATGGGTCTTGAGATTGTCTTGAACTGCAGTGTAGTGGATGGGGTCTAATCCTGTCTGGGGGAGTGGGGGAGTAGTTAATTATTGTCCAAAGTAGAGACACTTCAGCAAGAGAGATGGCAAGAATCTCAGTCCAATACCACCTCCTCCCTCCCCTATGTCCCCCACCCCCTGTTGTTTGGGTACTCTTGTGTGAGAAGTCAGGAAGAGGTGCCTTTTACATGTCCCAGGCCTTACAAACTAATGAGATGTCTGGAGTGGATGAGACGCTCAACTTTGGGAGGGTTTTCTACTTCTCAAAAGAAATTTAGGGGATGCAGAATTTTGAGGGCTTGGCTTTTTTAAAAATTCTAATACAGACTATAATTTTTTTTTTTAATATTTCAAATAGAGTTTAATAGATGGGGAAGAAGATTCCTAATAAATGCTGACTATATCAGCGATCAACAAATGACAGCCAAGTTGCAGTGACTACTGGAGTACCATAAACCTCTTTTTTGTTCTGGACCAAACATGAGTGGTAGTTTTAGTACTGAAATATCCAAAAGTAAAAACAGCAGGAGGGAAATGCAAAGAATAAAGGACAAGTAAAACATGAAGAACCTGGAGTTGTTATCATGAGTTTGATGCTATGCTATCTGAGCAGAATGTACCTTTAAATACCATCTTTGACTTGGCTCACTGAGCAACTCATTTTTTGACAGACTGATAACTGACTGGATAGTTTATTCTCCATAAGAATGTAAATTGATATGAGACTAACCCACTATTAAGCATTTGCTTGTCATCTCAAACAGGCTTTTATTTAGTACTTTTACACAGAAGAGGGAGTAAATAATGACAGGTGAAAAAAGCCCTCCTCTGGTAAAAACTAAAACTTAAAACTCCTGTGGATACTTAGGGATTAATTTTTCATAGTGTTAATATACAATGGGCATATTCAACATTGTTCTTCTAGTACTGTAAATTCATCTATGTCTTAACACTCATATTTAATGAGTTTGTCCCTCAGTTTATTTTAAATCTATAAAATTTCTAATTAGAACTGTCCTGGCAGTGTATCAGAATGGGGAAGGAAATGCTAAAACCGTTCTCTTTGTGAACAGAAAATATTCTCAATTCAAAACATGAAGTGTCATAATTGTTCTAGAGCAAGAGCTGCACTCAGGCTGTCTTGAGGTAATGCCAAAGCCATTTTGTAGCCACTTTTGAGAGAGAAGACATCTTAATTAAACTTTACCTTTGTTGAAGACATCAGAAAAGCTACTGGCAGAGTGTGCATGCTAACTGCAATCATGCATCCTGCCATCACCACTGACAAGGAAAAAACAATAAAAGTGGGCTGCAAGTGGCTGCTGTCACACAGATTGCTGTGGAAGAAAGCTGTTGCTTGTCTGTTCAGTATGTCTTTGAATTTTAAATGACAACCTCTAATAACCACAAGTTAGAAGAATTTTTTCCACAGTAGGGCATTGCTGACGTCACACTGAACTGTTCAACTTAGAAGTCAAGGTGCAAAATAAGACCAATGAAAATCACTAGGAGATGTTAAACTTTGATTGTTGATCCATGGTGAAGCTTGCTTTTTTTGTTTCTTTTCCCCTGATGTCAAGGTGTTCAAAATTATATAGAAATGGTATTGCTCAGAGAAAACACTTCCCTGTGGCAGCTCAGAGTTTAAGAAAACTAGTAGCATTATATCTATAATAAAATCATGAGAGCTGAGAGCTCTTTGATGAGGTAGTCTACCCTTATCATGTTCATTTGTGGTTTGTTATTTTGTTGTATTTTCTTGCCATTCTCTTTCTCTTACATGTGGGAAGATAAAGGCATGTGTGGGGTTTAATGGGTAAGAATAAATGCTGGTCTGTCTGTCTGTGTCACTGCCATTAGAGTTAAAGGAAGGTAACATACCCAGTACACTTATGGACAGGCAGCATCAATCTTCTGCTATTTTTTTTTTTTTTTGGGCTTTGCTGCTTGCTCCTGCTGTCTAGCACACAGTATTTAAAAAAAAGGTAAACTAAAAGAAAGTGTGGTCAAGAAGGATTTGAGAAGCTCATTTGTAAAACATCTGAAGCTAGGACTGTTGCTGAAGTGTTATTTAGAGACAATGGATAGAAAAAATGCCATGGAAATATAGGGACTAGAAGATGTCTCTGCTTACTGCTCAGGTGTTTCAAAAAGGACCTGAAAGAGTAATTTATCTTTCTGCCAGGAGAAGAGATAAAGTCCTTGCTTGACAGGATTGTCTGCTTCATCTAGGAGATATTTACCTTGAAGCTGAATGGAGTAGTCTTTGTGACTATTGCTTATTATGACTCACATAGAGATTGATGTGTCATTTCATACAACTCTATCACTAAATCTAGGTTGCATTTTGGATAAGATGAAAGAAATACCACGTCTAATTTCCAGTTCTCCCAGTTTCCTGACCACCGTTGAGCTAAAACACTTAGTTTTTATTTACTTTGATTCTGTGATCTGATGCACTGTTATATTTGTTTACTAAAGATTAGAATCAAGAACTGGTGAAAAATGCATGATTAAATTACTTGTCAGGAATACAAGTTTTAATCTTGCTAAGGATGGAGGGGGCCTTAAGGTAGAAAAGATGGTCTTAGGTAAAAAAGATTCTGATAATCCACAGGGAAAAAAAAGAAAAAACTAAGAAGAAATTTTCAGTTGCTACATAACAATAGTTATTATTTTGCTATGTTTGAATTTGAGTGAACAAATAAATGGAGGATTCATACCCTGTCTTGTCACACATAGGCTGAAAAGCTAACTGAAATTGATAGCTATTCACCAATTATTCAGGTATAATTTTGGATGGTTGCTGAAGCAGGGTTAACTTTAAATAATGTTTTTGATGAAGACATACTGAAAATGATTGTTAGAAAGTAGATTTGTGATTTAGAGAAATGAATAGAATGAGTACAAAGAACAACTTTGAAAGTCACTTCTACGTTTGACATTTTTCCCTTGAAGCAATAGTTGTAAACAACTGGTGACAGTGAGTTGACTGCTTTGCCTTTCTATGAAAGTTCTTTGCACTAGAAAATGTTGATAAATAATCATTTATTCATGATTCTATAAGTGTAGAAAGTGTTTTTCAAAATGCTAGTACTTTTCCTCTAAATTATATTTATAGATCTAGTTTTAATAACATTTTAAAAATTATTTTATTTAGTCTTGAAAATTGCCATTTTAATACATGTTTAGCAAGCATGTTTAAAATTATCAGTTTGGAAGTACACATTGAAAGCATATGAAATATGCTGACATGAAATAGCTCTTGTCTCCTTTTTAAATTATGAAAATAGGTTTGAGTTGCCTGATGAAGTTGGTGGAGACATTCAAAGATAATACACTTTCAGATGTTCATAAATTAAAAAAAAAATATTTTTCTGAGTATTCCTATGTAAAGACACAAAAACTTTTGCTAATTTAAAAATTCACAGAAAGCAAAATCTGCAGTTACAATGAAGTTAAAAAAATAAGTTGTAATGTTCTTACATGTTAATCATCAAACGCTAATATTGTTTATTTCCATGCCTTAGGAGTCTTACAGTGTTACTATTTATAGTAACAGTTTTTCATTATATTTACAGCTTAATCTTGTATTTTTAATTTAGACATGTTTATTGTTTAATATGACTTTGTAATTTGGATATTCAATAAAAACCTTTTCAGAATAATTTCATTGAACTGAGCCTCTATAGAAAACTTCAGAACATACAACTTAGAGCCGGTTTTGTTTATTAGTGTTTATTTTCACCTCCCCGTAGGATACTGTAAGTAACCCAGATTGATTAATTGAGAGAGCAATTATACACAAATTCAAGGAGGATTCTGGCCACAGGGTTGCATGGAAATACTTTCTGTCTTAGAAGTTCACCTCTTTGTTACATATCTGTATCAAAACCTGTATGAATTTAGTTCACTGTTGTGGACCTAAGCATGATATGACATAGATGCTTTTAATGCTGATGCTCTCACAAGTTTATGTACTGACTGCCTGGAATTGGGCCTAATAGTAATGTTTAACAATATTAATACCGATATTACACAGAGTTAGTGTGTTGATTTTTTTTTAAGATGCGATGTCTTCTTTCTCTGAACCAGTTTTGCAACAGCTCAATTTGTAATTTGTTAAGGCAATATCCACGCTGTGAATCAAAAAGTTTGCCACTTAGCAGTTCCTGTCCAATTCTTAAAAATTTTCATAAATGTAGAGTATTAAAAAGATTACCTTCGTTGTTCAGCTACCTGAACTTTCCATGGCTTTAGCTTGCTGAGGTTTTTCCCTCTATTGAAGAAGGGTTATATCTTGCCCTTGATTGCTGGTGTTTTTCCCTGGGGGGTGTAACAGGGCAGGTGAGTTGAATCTGCTTCTAGATGGGTAAAATATTTTGGGAACTCTTCAGATGGTGCTGTTACAAATTATACCACATTAGTTTATCACTTTCGGTAGGAAAGGAAACAGACCTTTTCCTCCAAGTTTCCTTAAAACTTATGTGCAGTACAGTAAATTACTAACATGTATGAAACGAGTAGGGTTTTTCAAATGTTTTGTTGTCTTCTGTAAGGGACTATGCTTGTTGCTGAAGTCTAAAATTTTTTGCAGGGCTTTATCTGGTATAAGCTTTTGACTGTGGGTATTTGGGATGTTCTTTTTACTTTGTTTTTCTTATGTTAATTATAATGAAGAATGTTGGAGGCAGAGAACAGGACACAAAACTGACCTAATAACACTCTGCAGCGAGATTTTTCTCCATCTCCATCAGCACACATCCTGTTGTAGTACTTACTTTTAAGACAGCAATGCTGCTTCACCAAACTTCCTCCTACAGTGAGAGAAGTAGGGGTAACTCTTGGAAAAAGTTTTGAGGCTAGTGACAAAATATGTTTGTCTTTCAGATCCCCAGCTCAAGGGTATAGTGACCAGGTTATATTGCAGGCAAGGCTACTACTTGCAAATGCACCCCGATGGAAGTCTCGATGGAACCAAGGATGACAGCAGTAATTCTAGTAAGTGACTGCCCCAGGGGAATGTCTTAATCGCACACGCAGATCGCATCGCTCGAATGTGTATGCACAGACACCGTGTTAATGCCTTTGGAGGGTTTCTGAATGTGTTTTGTTCAAAGGAGGAGGGTTCTTTCTGTCTGTTTGAAGCTTGACGACCACCAGCATGGCTCGTGCAGGACATTGGCCTAAATATGTTCCCTCTGAAAAGAAAGCTGTAAGTGCCCGAGGGCCTTAGGAGTGAGATATTTAGGCCAATGATTGTCTTCTGGTAATTTTATAAAAATCTGGTAATTTAAAAATATTTTTTAATAAAAATTATATATTTAACATAATTTTTTTATCTTCCAATAAATAACAAAAAAAAAAAAAAAAAAAAAAAAAAAAAAAAAAAAAAAAAAAAAAAAAAAAAAAAAAAAAAAAAAAAAAAAAAAAAAAAAAAAAAAAAAAAAGATGGAAACTAAATTTCCCTGAAAAATCTGAATATATAGGCCCTGATTCAGCAAAGCAAATAAATGTACATTTAAGTATTAAAATCCTGCTTAAAATACACGCTGAAGTACCTTGCTGAACTGGGGCTAAAAATCCTACAGTCCCCATACCAGAAGGAGTTCCAATGCCCTTAAGAGAATTTCTGCCACTGTAGGGGCTGCATCAGTGGCAGTTTTCAAAAATATTCCAAACAAAAGCCATCTTGAAAGGCCATGTGGCTGACTGCTTTGATACACTTTTTCTATGATACAGCCACCTATTTTCATTCAATGAGGATATATGTGTTTGATAACTTCAGGTGCAAATGGTAATTAAAAAAGCCTGTTCTTACTCTAGAAAGAGTTGATTTGTATTTTGTATATTTTAATTCTAATGGCATATTTAAGTAACATTTCTGTGTGACCTTGAGTTCTATTTTAGGCACTTTTAATACAAAAGATTTATCATTTTGTTATGCATAGATATGCATAAATAAGCCTTCAGTTTCCTCAGAAATCTTGGAATTAGGCTACAGAAATTAGGGGATTTGAGGTTTCTGCTTTACACTGGTAAAGTCCTTATTTTATCTGTTAATGCATGGCTGTCATTTATAACACTTTTCATCAACAGATAACATGATCAGCTTTTATTGTTCTGTTTGTTTTTTTTTTAAATGAGAGAAGCTGATTAATCTATTTTGATGTGTATTTCTCTGCTTACTTTCCAAGTGTTTTTGTTCCTCCCCACACCCTCCCTCCCCATCCCAGTCCTTCTTTATTTTCTGCCCTCTGTGTGTCCATCTCTCATGCCCACTTCTATACTGGACTAGATACTAAGACCTTTTAAAGACAAGACTATTATTGCCTTTTATAGACTCTTTGCCTAGATGAGGTCTGAGAAATATATCTTAGAGTGTGAGTGTGTATCCCTCTCTGCCCATCTCTCTTATTTTCAGCTTCAGCGAGAAGGTGTGTATGACTACAATAATTTTGTAAAGTTTTATTGGTTTTTTTCTGAGGGTTTTTTAAAATCTTAGAATTCTATGAATTTGGAGTCTTTGCAAAACTAGACCATACTAATTCTATCTTTTTGCTGTTGTCAGCTTCACAAATCTTTTTTATTTTTCCCCTTACTATTTAATTTACCTTTCTCTCCCTTCTTTGCTGCCTTTCTGGTTTTCCATCTATCCATTTATTTTATTCTTCTTTTTCCAAAATGCAGAATGACTTATAATATTATCGCTATTATATATTATATGTATCATAATATTATAATTAATATTATAAATATTAGGAAATATATAACTTCTCCAAACCCAAATACCAGATAGCAGTATTATTTATTTTGAATAAATATTGTTAGATAACATTGTGTTTTACTGCAAAATTATTTTTAAGCTAATTTTTTTCCATAGGAGTATTTTTTCTGTCTTTAACTGGTGTGAATCTCTAGTTTCATATTCACTAGTCCAATTTTACAATATTTTTTAGTAAAGACAGTTTAGAACAGAATGCAAAATTAATATGTTTACCGGGAAGGCCTATAATGTCCACCTGAAATATTGCTGATATAGCTGTATCAACACCATATTAAGAGCTGGAAAGATTGATCTGGTTGATATATTCATTAACATAAGAAGATATGAATATATGTCTGTTTCTTTTGTACTGTCAGTCTTTCTCCTCAGTTTTTTCCCTTTCAGCTCTATTTCCTTCCATTTCCTGTTGAACTTTTTTCCTATTGCTGTTGTTTATTGCAGCATATTTTGGTTTTCCTTCTCTCTTTTACTTTAAAACAATAATTTTCTCATGGATAGAATACCTACTATTTTGATATTTTATTTTCTGAGCTCCTTAGCATGATAATTTCTGTCTGAGGCTTACAAGTAAATAACTTTTGGCAGTGGCCCAAGGAGAAAATGCTGCTTTTGACCGCGGTGTTTGCAGGCTGCCTATTTAATGTGCCCAGTGGGTGAATGAAGGGATGTATATTAGCTGTCAGTAGGACAGATAATATGCTTATCTTGATAGTGAAGATGACTTCCATTTGATTGTGTTCATTAAAAAAAGAAAATACAGACTGCCAAAGGATGCGCATCTGTACCAACCTTCCACCTGTCTTCTCTACTGTTCACTGTCCCTGAAGACAGTGCACTGGCCATCTGAGTAAATGGGTGCCAGAGAAGCAAGGCATGAGAGACAGAAGAAGATGTATTTTCTTTTTTGTCTTCAGTAAGGAAGCTGTTTGAAGCTTAGTCATGCTGCTACTTTTTATGCTGTTGCAGTGTATTCTGTGTCAAGCAGTTAGAGGAGTGCTTGAAGTTAAAATTCCCTCAAGTGCCTATATCAGTTCATACTCATTTTATATGAATGTCAGTAAACAATAACTTACACACTATTGGAGTCACAGTGTTATAGAGAGGTAGTTCAAACCAAGATTAAGATGTCTTTAAAGCTTCTCAGTAGTCTCTTTAATGTGACATTTTGCTTCTATCTGAAGTCAAAATGAGTTGCACCAGTGGATTTAACCAGCTGCTATAATGCAAGCATTGTCCCAGATGGCAAGATTTTTTAGTGCATCGCTGCACACAAATCCTTCCATGAAAAAGGGAGAAAGACATGACTACTTGCAATTACATCCCTGAAGGTGCTTTTGCCTGCTCATATTGATGGCCATGATAGTAGAACCCAACCTATAAATAGACTGATAGGTTTCAGTTCATTGTATAAGTAGACTGATAGGTTTCGGTTCATTGTTGTAATTTCTATGTATAACTTTTTTCCAAGTTAATCAGGTTTTGTGAAAGAGTGTGAATTAATGCACCTACTAGTTAATGGTGCTGAGTTCCCTTAGATCAACATTACTAGATCAAGGCTGTTAGCTAAAAAAACCCTGTGTGTTCAGTCTGTGGGGTTTTTTTGCCCCACTCTCAATCATATGTGAAAAGAGGCTTTAGTACATTGCTTTTCTTTTTTTAGCTGGTTTTCCTTTTTTGTTTATCTGATGCCTGACAGTTTATGGATTGCTTTTGGAGCTTGCTTGGAGCAAAGGCAAGAGTGACTGTGGTTAAAGCTGCAGGCTTGATTACTGAAGTCCTACCCAGTGTAGCTGTCCCTCTCTAGCTCTAATTTCCCTGGATTTTAGAGATGCGAATGCAGCTTGCTTTGGTGTTGTCCATGGGCGTTATCATTATTAATTAGGAAAGCTACAAGCTACTACACAAAAATCATAAAGAATTAGAAGAGATTTCCATATGTGCTTGTGGTAACAAGTATTACATTCTCCTCCCCACCTAAACCAGCTCATTTTTAGGTTTTGGTCTAACTTCAAAGATTTGTCTTATGAATGAAGGGTAGGTACTGTAGGAAGACTAATTAATTTGAGAAACAGACAATTCTGATTCTTTAATTTCTGAGTTCAAACCCCTAAATTTTTTAGATCTATAGCTTATTTTGATTCACCTAAAGAGTGTATCTCAGCCAACAACCACTGAAAAATTTCAACATAAATGGTGATACTTTCCTTTATAGAAGATAGACCTTATTGTGACACTCAAATGTTGCTATTTGTGCCCCTTATGAATTACAGTCATGCTGAGAAAATGTTTATAACATGCTGTAATTAAAAGAGTGTTACTCATTGGTAATTAGCCTTATTTCATAAACTGATAAATGACAAAGTTAACGTTATCCAAGCAACGTTGATTTGGCTTTGCTGTGCACATCTCTTCCTTTATTATTCTGCAACATGCTTTGCCTGCTTTGTGGTGCTTGATACCTGGTAGAGTTGCTGTTCAAGAAAATCCTGCAACCATTTGACATTCCTTTGTTTTCATCTTTTAATGCATGCTCCTAGTATTCTATTTATATCTTCCAAATTGAATATGGAAGTATTAACTTTGTAATGTCTTTCTAAAGTACCTACCCCTATCACATTTTGGTTTGAAGATACTAATAAAAAAATCTTTACAGCACCCTTTTAAGGTAAAGGAGATAATTAGACAGAAATAAAGCACATGAAGATTAAAAAACAACACCTGCAGTGCTGTTAAATTTGGACTAATGAATGTTAAATTTGGCTTACTGCACTGAAATACTTGCAGCCTCATTTTCACACTGCTTTTTACTGAAGTTTGTCTTCCAAGAATTATAGAGGCATTTACTCATCTACTTACACTACCTCTGGGAATTAGGTAAGCCTGTTTCTCCCATTGGGATAATCTTAGTCTAACAGAGTCAGTGAAGGTCATGTTTGGTCATAATAAAAAGTATGTTTTAATAATGTCTTTTGTAAAGTCAGGCAGGTAGAATGGGTTTGCTCCATAAGAGATGGATGGACAGACCTCTAAATTTCAACTTCTTTGCACTCATTGCCAATCTAAAAGGAGTTCTGAAGGAGTCGTCATTTTTGCCTGTGGGCCTGCAGACGAAAATAAATTAAAGAAATAGTTGCCTTGATCTCATTGGAGATTTGGTGCTGTGGAAAGTTTTGTTAACTGACACAAAGGCACAGCACATTCAGAAGAGACAGCAAATTTATAAGCCTTAAGAAATTGTTTTTAGCAAGGTCCTTGAGAAAAACAGTGATCTCTAATAGCAATTGTCTTGTAAGTACAAGTCAGTTGTACCTAAATAGACTTTCATAAGTAAATGGAAATATCTGATTTTAGGCATTTCAGATTTCAAATTAATGGGATATGATGGTGTTGCATAAAAGAAGGAAAAAGTTATGTGGTGGTTTTGTATTTTACTCAAGAAAGGAGTGATTGCTTATAAAAAAAATAAAAGTGGACTTAAACTTTGATTACAGCTCTGTGAGGATTAGAATCCAACTCAGATTTGGATTTCCTGCAAGTCTCCTCCATGACACCTAAACAAATAACCATTTTCATGCCAGTTTTTCCTGCTAACTGCCCCCCACCCCCATTTTCTGATTTTGTGTGTGATGGGAATAGGCTTGCAGGCTTAGGAGAAGGAGGAGAAACTGTATGCTTTATGGTCACAGTTTAGGTCAAATACAAATCAAAGCCTAGGGACTACACAGACTCAGTTCTGACAAGAAGAAAGGGTTTTACTCACACCATTTTTGCCAATCTGTTGCTTTGTTTTTCTTGGTGTTCCCACGTCTTATTTACATTTGGATTCACCAGCCTTTCTGCTTAAGCGTGCAGCATAGGAGCACTGAGCACCAGGAAGAGTTATATTTCCTAGGCTGAAAGAGGGTGCCCCCCTCTCTCAACTCGTCTATGAACTCACTGAACTGGGTTTAGGTATGTTTAGGAGCCTCACTCCCCAGTTAGTTTTGACATTGGATCAATGTCTTAAAGACAGAAGGAAGTTGGGGAAATGGTTCTTTTTCACAACCCCCTCAGGTAAGAGCATAGCTTTGGCTATGCTGAACTGAAATGCCAGCAGACTCTGGAAGGCTCTCTGCTTTTCTCAAAGCAGGTTCTTATTAGAATGGGGGATAGCACAGTGGACCCTAGGAAGGTTTGAAATGTATAATTAGTCACAAAAGTCTTGTTCAGTGAAGAGTACTGCACAGTCATGTTCTGGAGGAAACTGAATTTTGTTTGACCGCCTTCAAAGCACCTAAAAACCACATGCTGTACCTTACTGGTGCATGTTTTGCTGACCCCAGTATGAAGCCCATTGCTGAAGGTTTGTCAGTTGAAAACTAAGTGTAGACTGGCCTGCCTAGTTTCAACCAAGTCTGAAAGATTTTGTGAAATTTACTGAATTTTCTGTGAGTGCAGAATTGCAGCATTTCAGATCATACTCTAAAATTTTATGGTCTTAGGCTAATTACAGGATCTCTGAAGTCTCCAATTAAAATCTAGTGGCAGTAAAAGATACATTACATGCCCTCTTTAATGCTTTCTAAATTCACCTGCAACTATAGACTGCTCTAGTAATTTATAGGTTACATAAAACACTGCCATGTTACAAGCCTCTAATTCTTCTTCACTGATGGTTAGGGGTTTTTTTCTAGCTTTGCTGCTTTATTTTTATGGGTAATACAGCAAATAATATCTATGTTCCAGAATTTTTTTGACTGGACCTCTGTGGTTTGGAGTTATTTTTCCATATCAGTTTTCATGGCTGACTTGTCTTTTGTGTTCATTTCTTTTCTTTATATAAGTATTGTTTGTTTTTCCTTTCTGGTGTCCCTTCAATTGTTGCTGCTCCCTTCTAGTGTGGTGTTCATACGCAGGTTTCCCCTCCCTTTTCTTCTCGGAAAAAAAACCAAACTCAATTGCTATCTGAAACTTAGTTTTGCTCTGACAGACTCCCCCTCCACCATCCACAACAGTGATTTTGCTGGCTTTGAATTGGTTCCTTTCAGGGTAATGACTTTATAACTAATTTTTAACTTTCAGATTATATGTAACATTTTAAAGCCCTCAAGCCATGCAGTGTTTAGCCTATATACTCTTAGGATATCTTATCTGTGAAATAAACATATTTCACTGTTTATTATAATATAGAGAGGGAACCTTGTCTATATCCCGTATTTTTCTAGGGAACAGCCCACTAAGATCCTAGCATAATGGAGACTTTTGGAAATGACAGAAATTAAAATGCTATTTATTTGTGCTAAATCTTGTCATCTCTTCTATTCTTCTTTGCAAGCCCCCCCCCCCCAAATTGTTACCTGTTCTTCAAGAGCTCCTTCAAATATATTTTTCTTTCTATATCTTTAGGAAGTACTCTGCTACAATTCCTAGCTTTATACTGGCTTTTTGTGTTCATACAAAGATCTAATGTTGTGCATTCTTTCTCTGCATGACAACGTTGAAGGAAAAGTATATTTTTTTTCATCCACTTCTATCTTTCAATTTTAGTAGTCAACCTATGTTTTTTCTCAGTTAAAAAGATTTGATCATCTTCATCAAAAACAAACTGTGGATTTGTGTCCTTTGACCAAACAGGAGTTTTCACACCTTGAGAAATGTACTTATCCACTGCAATTATGTGACACTTTTTTCTCTTGATTTTGGCTTTAGCTCTGGCATTCTGATTATAGATAGGCTCATACAGTACCCTCTCTGGTCACATCTATGGATGACCTTCCTAAATTTTGAGGAACTCACTGTAGGTGTTAATGTGTTCCTGAGACCTGACTGGGTAGAACTGTAGTCCTCACTGCATATGTTGAACACAAAGGTTGTGCTTTTGGTTGTCATCCAAGGACTTGTGAGTCCTTGACTCATCCACCATGGAAAAATATTTAGCATGAACTCTGTCTCATCTAGAGCTTTTCTTCCAAGACTGATGTGTGCTTTGCATCTGATTTTCTAGTATGAGTCAGTAAACATAGTATAGGTGTGTACTGGCATAGTTTTTAGAAGAATGGTCCATGTCTCCTACTTATATAACTTTTCCTTGTGTTTTTCTGTGGTGAGGCTGGTAAACTGCCCCTCTTCACACTGGCCTTTTTCAGACAGTGATCAAAGCTGTGTCTGGTTTTGTTACTGCAAAGGTATATACCATTTCTAGGGTATTTGCTATTAGGGGGTTTTCTAATTATTTTGTAATTATTACACACACACACCCCACCCCAAATTTTTGAGCACATTCTATATTTAGCTCAATAACATTTATGCATATTTAGAGTCAAGTACATATTTCAGCGCTTTTATGAACTTTTAAGACTCTGCCATTGCCTTCTGTGTTACTTGCCAGAATTGGAGGTGTTTTCTGCAGGGTATATCACAAGTATTACCTTTATAATGAGTCTATGTTGGTGAAGGAACTGTTGGGCTCTTTGACTCGTTCCAGATTGCCTCAGATGTTCATGTTTGCAGTGCCACATAAATGATTATAGCCCAGTTTGCTGTGCTTTGTATTTACTAGTTAGCACTTGTGCCAGATACTAAACTATTGCAGAACTTATTGCTAGATAGATAGGCTTTAATTTTGAGCATGAACTTTACAAGTAATGAGTTTTTCTGAACTAGTCTAATTTTAAAATTGGGGAAAAAATTATACAGGGACTAGTTTTCTTTCTTTTTACTAGAGATATTTATTAGGATATTGTGTTAGTCATAGCATATTCATATCTGGTCATGTTTTTTCTTCACAGCTTTATTCAACCTTATACCAGTGGGACTCCGAGTTGTTGCTATCCAGGGTGTAAAGACTGGGTTGTATATAGCCCTAAATGGAGAAGGTTTCCTCTACACATCAGTAAGTACCTTGCTGAACTTTCTTTAGCAGGCACAGCTGAAGTTGAAATCTACACAGGAATGAGGCATTCACTTTTAAGAAGTTCTGTAATGTCTTTATATGTATATACACATAGTACACACACCATCTGGTAGACAGAGATAGGAAACCAAATAGCCCCCTTGTATTCCAGGAGGAAATAGTTGGTGACTTACTGAATCATCTGGATCCTCACAAGTCTATGGGACCAGACGGGATCCATCCTAGGGTAATGAGGGAGCTGGCAGAAGAGCTTGCCAAGCCGCTCTCCATCATCTTCCAACAGTCCTGGCTCATGGGGGAGGTCCCATATGATTGGAAGTTGGCAAATATCACCCCAATCCATAAAAAAGGATGCAAGGCTGACCCTAGTAACTACAGGCCTGTCAGCCTGACCTCGGTGTCTGGCAGAGTTATGGAGCAGATCATCCTGTGTGCAATCACACAGCAGCTACAGGATGGACAAGGGATCAGACCCAGCCAACATGGGTGTTTAGGAGGGGCAGATGACACCAAGTTGGGAGGGAGTATCGACCAACCGGAAGGCAGGAGGGTTTTGCAGAGGGACCTGGATAGACTGGAGAGATGGGCTGACTCCAATGGGATGAAGTTCAACAAGGCCAAGTGCCGGGTCCTGCACTTTGGCCACAACAACCCCCTGCAGCGCTACAGGCTGGGCACAGAGTGGCTGGAGAGCAGCCAGGCAGAAAGGGATCTGGGGGTGCTGATCGACAGGAGGCTGAACATGAGCCAGCAGTGTGCCCAGGTGGCCAAGAAGGCCAATGGCATCCTGGCCTGCATCAAGAACAGTGTGGCCAGCAGGAGCAGGGAAGTGATCCTTC